ACAGTTATTATTGATAGGTACTTATTTGATGCCATTTTTATTCTATACCCCTGTGCTCCTTCTTTGCTTTCTATTTCTTTAATTTTACAGTAGACCCTTTAGCATTTCTTGCATTGCTGGTTTGGCGGAGATAAAGTCCCTTAGTCTGTTTTTGTCTGTGAAGCTCCTGATTTCACCTTCAATTTTGATTGATAGCCTTTCTGGGTACAGTATTCTTGGATTCAGACACTTCCATTGCATGACTTTGTATATTTCTTCCCATTCCCTTCTGGTCTGATGAGTTTCTGTGGAGAAATCAGTTCCTAGTCTGATGGGGTTTTCTTTATACGTAACTTTCTGTCTTTCTCTGGCTGCTTTTAAAATTCTTTTTTTCTCATTGGTGTTTGCCAGTTTAATTATAATGTGCCTTGGGGTCGGTCTTCTGGGGTTCATTTTGCTTGGGACTCTGTGAGCATCTTGGATTTGTGTGGGTTTTTTCTTCTCTATCTCAGGAGAGTTTTCTGTCATTATTTGTTGAAATACATTTTCCATGTCTTCCTCAGTTTCCTTTCCTTCTGGAACCCCTATTATTCTAAGATTGTTTTCTTTTGTGTTGTCCCAAAGTTCCCTTAGGCTCTCCTGCTTTTTAATTTTTTTCCCCCAGAAGCTGCTCTAATTGGGTATTTTTTTCCATCTTGTCTTATAGCTCAGTGATGCGGTCCTCTGCTTCTTCTAGTCTGCTCTTGATGCTTGCTATTGAGTTCTTTACAGTAGCGATATCATTTTTCATTTCTTCTTGGTTCTTCTTCATTTCTTCTTGGTTCTTACTCATATTGTCAAATTTATCTTCCATTCTTTTTAGCCATCTTATGATCATTACTCTGAATTCTTGCTCTGTTAGGTTGTTTGCCTCTAACTCATTTACTTCTTTTTCTGGTGATGCCTGCTTTACGTTCATATGCGGGCTGTTTCTTCGTCTCCCCATGATCTCTCTTTTTAGGATGTCTGGTTGTGTAGTTCTCTCTCTCCTGCTTTGATTTAAAGGCACAAAATACAACACAACCAGGTACAACACACAAGGCACTGAATAGAAATGTGTTTTCGATATTAATAACCACCAATAAAGGTGACTAGAACCCAGCTAACAAAAACATACAACCAAACGAAAAGAATAGGAAAATAAATCTTATATATATATAAAAAAAGCATACAACTTCAATATAGTTAACATTCAATATACAACTACAAAGAGATAGAGGGAAAGACTTTTTTTTTTAAGGGCAACGATAAGGGAGGTGTGAATGAGCTTGGAGCATGGGGTTGAAAATTAGATATACACAAGTAGGGTGAAATTTTAGAAGGGTGTAAACAAAAAATGGGGCAAATCTAGAGCAGGAAAGGGTTAAGATAAACAGGGCACCAAAGGAAAAGGTTAGGAGAAGAGTGAAGGCATAAAGGTAGGTTTGAGATAGAATAAAGCGTTGGAGAAGGAAAGATAAATATAGGCTTAGATCAATAATCCCAAAATAAAATAAAATAATAATAAAAATAAACAAAAGAAAATAAGATAAAAAAGGTAAAATAGTAGTAGTAATAATGTTAATTATGTATACAATGTAATAATTAAAATGTGTAAAATCAGGTGAGGAAAAAGAAAAAATAGTTTCTTGGGTAAACGTTGCAAATAATGAAAACAAAAATAAAAAACAAAAATTTAAAAATTAAAAAAACATTTAAATAAAATTTGCAGTAATGAAGGTCATTCGCTTTCTCTATTGATCTAGTCCTGATTTTTAGGCAGGTTTTGTTTTATTTTTATTACACTAGAGTCAATTTGTGAATTAGCCTCTGGGTGGCAGTGTTTCTATGTTGACTTCCCAGGCTCTAAAGCCTTTCCAGCCCCCCCCCCCCCCCCCCCCCGCCCGCTCTCTGTGGCACTGATCTATGGAGGAGGGGAAGGAGCAAGTCCGAGACAACTGTAACCTCCTCTAATTCTCTGATATCCCTCCGAGTCCGATCCAAATGTGTTACTCTTTAGATATCTCTTCTTTTAGTAGCCCCGTCCACTTTCATGGGTGACACCCGCCCAACAGCCAGGGGCTTCTACTTTTTTTTTTTTTTAATATATTTTATTGATTTTTTTTAGAGAGGAAAGGAGAGAGATAGAGAGCCAGAAATGTTGATAAGAGAGAAGCATCGACCAGCTGCCTCTTGCCCACCTCCTACTGGGGATGTGCCCGCAACCAATGTACATGCCCTTGACCGGAATCGAACCTGGGACCTTTCAGTCCGCAGACCGACGCTCTACCACTGAGCCAAACCGGTTTCGGCCAGGAGCTTCTACTTGTAATCACTGTCCCTGTCCTCCAGTTTCCGCGCACCCTGTGCGCGCAGACTTTTGTCTCTCCACGAGCACTCACTCACCCTCTCCCCGTGAAATCTGACTTTTTCGCTGTGCGGTGGGGCACTCCTGTGAGTCCAAGTGATCATGTTGCCTGGGGTCAGTGTTCTGGGGGTCACAGCTGCTTGGTGGTTGCTGTGGCTGTGGATATTCAGGCCTCTGACACAATCCAATCTTCCTCTCAAGATGGCGAGATTTCCCTGTCCAAGCCGTTAGGTAGCTCCGGCAAGGGACCTAGCCCCGTTTGGGTGCTTCCCTGTGAGGGGCAACCTTGTCAGCCGCCCCCCAGCAGTTTCTTCTGGTGTTCAGCTGTCTCTTGGCTTGCTGATAAACACTCACATCACAAGACTGTCAGCTGCTCTCTCTTTCTGCTTTGGGACAGGGCTCAGAATCCGCCTATATATTCTTCCGCCATTTTGTCTGTCTATGTGTCTGTTCTTGTGCCAGTACCAGGCAGTTTTGAGAATAATGGCTTTGTACTATAGCTTGATATCTGGTATTGTGATCCCTCCAACATTGTTCTTTCTCAAGATTGCTGTAGCTATTCAGGGTCTTTTTTTATTCCAGACTAGAGAGGCCTGGTGCATGAACTTGTACACCAGTCAGGTCCCTCAGGCTGGCCAGTGGGATTGGACCAAAACCAGCTCTCAGACATCCCTTGATGGGTCCTGTATTGCGAGAGGGTGCAGCCCAGGCCGAGGGACCACACCGGTGTACGATCAGGGCCGGGGAGGGATGCGGGAGTTTGGCCAGCCAGGGAAGGACTGCGGGAGGGCTCCAGGGAGTGTCCAGCCCATGGAGGGCTCTAGGGTGTGTCCGGCCCATCTCATTCAGTCCCATTCAGCTGGACCCCAGGAGCAAGATAACCTACCAGATGAAGCATCTGCCCCCTGGTGGTCAATGCATGTCATAGTGACTGGTCAACCAATCAACTTTCTGGCCCCTGGTGGTCAGTGAACATCATAGGGAGCGGTTGAGCAGTCTTAGCATATCAATAGCATATTATACTTTGGTTGGTTGAATGGACAAATGGACACTTAGCATATTGGGCTTTTATTATATAGGATGAATTTTTGGAGAATTTGTTCTAGGTCTTTGAAGTATACTGTTGGTATGGGGAAATGCATTGAATTTATAGATTGTTTTGGGTAGTATGGACATGTTAATGATCTTGATTCTACCAATCCATGAACATGGTGTATTCTTCCATTTGTTCATGTCACTGAAGAACTCTGACCCCAAGACATGTGGCTGCTGTGGGTTGGTGGGAGCCACGTTTGCCCAAGATCAGAGTCATAGGCACTTACTGTGGTCTCCTGTGCACACCTAGAATCAGGGATCTCGCCTGTGCCGTGCTTATACAGAGACCCTGCTAGCATGTGCTGAAAGTCAGAGCCCCTAGTGTGTGTCAGGAGTCAGAGACTCCCCGTGCCTCTGCTGAGAGTTGGGTATCAGAGTCTCTGTTGCTTGGTGCAGTCTCTCACTGAGAATCAGGATCTCTGTGTGCACAAGTGCCAACAATTATAGTCACTGGCTCTTAGTGTGAATGCACTGGGAATCAGGGATCCCAGGCACACACGATGAGAAATAGTCAAGTCACTGATACTCATTGCTGCCTCTCTCACTGAAAATCAGGGACCCTGTCTGATTGGGGAACGGGTTGCACAGTCACACTGTGTCGGCAGGAGGTCCACTCCTGCCCTGTAGGAAACAGCCTTCTGTGTGTGATTGCCCTGAATCAAAGTCAGGTGGCTCTGCCATCCTGTGTGGGCGTGGGGTCTGATTCCGCGGGTGTACACTGTGGGAAACAAACTCCCTGTGTCCATGTATCCAGGCTCAAATTCAGCTCAGCCTCCCTGTGTGGGCCTAGGGTCTGGTCACGGGAAACAAACTTCCTGTGTCTGCATACCCAGGCTCAAATTCAGTGCAGCCTTCCTGTGTGGGTGTGGGGTTTGGTCTTGGGAAACAAACTCCCCAAGATCACGCTCCCTGGCTCAAATTTAGCACAGCCTCCCTGTGTGGGCGCTGGGTCCGGCTTCAGGAAATAAACTTCCTGTGTCCACACACTCAGGTTCAAATTCAGGTAGAGCCTTTGCTGCTGTGTGTGGGCAGGAGGCCTGTTTGAGCGGAGAGGGTCTGACAGTTCCTATGCCACTGCTGAGGGGCTGGCAAGGAAGGGGATTGGCTCTGTGACTCAGAAATCTGCAGCCGGGGTGCCTGGAGTCTTGGTGTCTGTGGGTCTACAGCTGTGGTCAGAGGTCTTTTACTGGAGTGGCTGTAGGGTCCTGGTTTGAGGCCAGATTGGCTAGTGGCAAGGTTAAGATCCTAGTCTCAAGCAGTTCTGTTCTTCAATATGGCATGGTCTCTGTGCCTGCTCTGGCCACCCCTGGAGTGTTTGCGGTGGCAGCTGGGTTTTGCTGTATAAGACTGCCCATTTGACAGCCCGTTGGAAGATCTGCAGGATCTAACTGTCCCTAGCTCATACATGCACACACCACACACGTCCACACACTCCTCTATTGCTCCCTCACAGTCACACACTCTCCCTGCCTACCTTCTTGCTGGTCGCCATCTTGGCTCTCCAAAAGTGTTTTGTTTTATTGCTTATATTCTTTTGTAGGTGAAATTTGAAGCTCAGAAGAAAATTTTACGAAGACTAGAGTCTTACCTCCAAAAGTTCAACGGAGTCAAAGTGACAACAGCTGCACCCAAATCAGAGGGACTCTGTTTTCTTCTCCACCCTATTATACCCTCTGTAAGCACACACCTCCTGGTCAGTTGCTGGGGACCAGATCTTCTGCTAAGTGATTAGCATGCACTATTGTTTTGTTTTCTGTTTACAGTCACTCTGGGGTTATAGGCACTGTCATTTTACAGATGAAGACTGACAGATTAAGTAATTCACTCAAGGATACATATCTAGATGTGGCAGAACTAAGATTCACACTCAGGCATATCTGATGCAAAACCCACTTTCTAAACCACTACACTACTACCTCTTTGGAAAAATTCCAACTTTGGAAACCTAAAGAGGCCCGAGAGGCAAATTTAATTTATGGCATAGGTTAGCAAACTATGGACCTTTTCCCATGTCTGTTGTACTGCTTGATTTTTGTAAATAAGGTTTTATTGGAACAGCTGAACTTCTTATTTATAAATTGTCTATGGCTGTTTTCACACTATAATGGCAGAGTTGAGTAGTTATGATGGGAATCATATGGCCTGCAAAGTCTAAAATTATTTACTATCTGGCTCTTCAATGAAAAAGTTTGCTGATTCCTGCTTTATGGCTAGGCTGGAACTCCTTTTTACTATGAAGTTTCTATAGAGGGTCTTGATCTCAGTCATGGACTTTCCAAGCAAGCATCACTTAGTTGTCCTTATCCAGAGAACATTATTTGATTCCCTGTATTGTTGCCCTCCTTGGTCTCATTTGACCCGTTTTCCCTTTTCTGCTCTTCTGCCTCCTCTAGCCTGTCATCGATGGCTACCGAAATAAGTCCACTTTTTCTGTGAACCGAGGCCCAGATGGAAATCCGAAGACCGTGGGGTACTACCTTGGAACTTGGAGAGGTCAGTCAATGGCCATGACTAGTAGACATAACAAACCAAGGACTGAGAGGAAGGGAATGGTACAGATAACAGTGTCAGTGAAAGTGTAGAGGAGTAGGAAATGCAGTGGTCTTAAAGGACTAGATCAAATTAGAAGTCTTTGATGTCAAATTTGATCACAAGGTTAATTTTGGATATTTTTTGTGGGTAGTCATTATAATTATAGGAATCACAACCCTCATTCTTTCTCCCTCTAAAAGGAATATGCTTGAAACCTAGTATGTACTTAGTAAATGTTAATATTGCACCATGCCAGCACAGCCAAGGGTTTGGTGACCCTGAGTGAGAGTTGGTGAAGGATGAAGAAAAAGACAGGCAAAGAGAATAAGCTGGGTCTTGCTGAGGCCACAGAACAGATCTGGACTGCAAAGCTGGTGCTTTATTTATAGTCAGAGATAAACAAGGTAATTTACAATATTCTTGTAAGTTTCCCTTGTTTTGGCAGCACTTGCTGCCCCTCCCACAGCCCATTAGCTACCCAGGAAAGAAGTAGGGAGCAGTCACAAGATCAAACTTAATTATGCCTAGAGGACTGTGCCCTCCAAGCTGGGACTTGTTTGTAACTTGGTCAGTCCAAGGCTTAACCCTATAACTGCTCCCTACATCTCGCCCTTCTTTTAATTTTAAGCTACTAATAATGGAAGTAAAACTTAAACATCAAGAACAAAGTTCTGACTATTAAAACATTAACAAAACAATGCCAATGCAAAACCCAATAACAAAACAATGCAGATGCAAAACCCAGACATGGCTATTAATAAAACAGTGCCGCCGAAACCAGTTTGGCTCAGTGGATAGAGCGTTGGTCTGCGGACTGAAGGGTCAAAGGTTCAGTTCTGGTCAAGGGCATGTACATTGGTTGCTGGCACATCCCCAGTAGGGGGTGTGCAGGAGGCAGCTGGTCGATGATTCTCTCTCATTGATGTTTCTAGCTATTTATCCCTCTCCCTTCTTCTCTGTGAAAAATCAATAAAAATATATTTTAAAAAAATAAAAAATAAAACTGCCAATGCAACATAACAATAATAGAGAAATCAAACTACAGTAACATTTTTCTACTAAATGAAAGTTTCTTTTGTGGATTTACTCAAGAGTCCTTGGACTTGGCTGTGAAAGAGTTTGCAGAAGACTGGCAGCTAACCAATGCTAGCATGGCCAGAAACATGGTTGAGGGGGTAGCTTCCACTTCTCACTTTTCTGTCATCTGCTGGGCCTCAGTTGTTAATTTCTTCAGCTGACCCCATGTTGGCACCTCGGTCTCTTGGGTAGCCTTTGTCACCTTCTTTTTCCACTTTGCTGTCATCGGAGCAACTTTCAGTCTTTTGAACGATGGGACAAGGAGCCTCTTTGGGTCCGTTATGGTGACGTACATAATGCTCTGGCACCCAAATTGGCTGTGCTGCTCCTTCTGGAAAGATACAAACACAATCTCTTCCCCACATCATTACTGGATCTGGTCCAAACCATTGTCCAATTTGTGCATCCTTCCATCGGGCTAACCCTGTGGAGGCTATTGTACAGGAGGCCCGATGCCTTTCTGCTGCTGTATGACCCTCTGTGTCGCAATTCAAAAAATTTAAAGTATGAAGAACATGACTGAGTTTGTTTTGAGGTGACACATAACATCTGTATTCCCTTTCTGTTGAAATAATTGGATTTTAAGAGTACTATTTGCTCTTTCCACTCTTGCTTGACCTTGAGGGTTTTAAGGGATACCAGTTTTATGACAAATTTGATATTGCTAACAAAAATGTTGAAAAGCAGGACTAGTGTATGCGGGTCCATCGTCTGTCTTTAGCTCTAAGGGAGGACCTAGTACCACAAAGGCAGCTAGGCAATGATTAATTGCATGCTTCGCACTCCCTCCTGTTTGGGGAGTCGCAAAGTTAAAGCGGGAGCAGGTGTCTACATTGACATGCACCCATCTATGCTTACCAAATTCCGGTATGAGGATGACATCCATTTGCCAAATTTGATTAGGTTTAAGACCCCTAGGGTTAACCCCCAACGATTGTACAGGGCAATGAATTACACACTGAGAGCACTCCTTAACAATTTGACGAGCTTGTCCCAAGAAATACAGAATTGTTTGTATAAAGCAGCAGCATTTTAATGATGCAAAGCATCAGGGAGACCTGAATGAGATCGGATATGACCAGATTCACAAGCTGCAAATGTTGCCCCGCCTCTAGCTTAATTAAGAATGCAGGTGGCTACAGGCTTTTTGTAATTTTAAATTCTGCTGTTGGATTATAAGAAATATGTAGTTACTTCATTTTTCCCTTCTTAGAGGCCAAAACCTTCATAACATTTAATTTATTAATTTTTATTTGATAAGGCTTTTCATGCAATTTCTAGTATATTAGGTCTATTAAATTTAAAAAGATTTCCTTTAAGAAGAGAGAATAAATTACTCCGGGCCCTTGGAGCTACCCAAGAATCATCTCTGTTAAAGCCTTGAAATTTTAACATTGAAAAAACCATCAAACAAATGTTTATATATGATTTCTATATTATAATACTTCTTATAATTCTCTTAAGATATCAATTAGATCTTAAACTGGTTTTTGCATAGAAAAATTTTGGTTGGGATCACAGAATTCCTTTTTTAATTAGACCAATAATAAGCAACTAAGTTTGAATTCCTAATTATTAGAGAAAACACAACATTTTATTTTCTCAAAAATAAGTTCTTATACTTTAGACATTTAATTACCACAACTATATAATTTCTCCCAATTTAATTTGCACTTTGAACTTTTAAGATGGCAAGTCAAATATACTTAGCATTTCCTAGATTAATAACATTTACATAATCAATTAGTAACTTCAATTCTGTCCTCCAGGTTTTTTATGAGGCAAATTTAAACTTTACTTTTTATTTGCCAGTAGCTCTGTAAAACCAGGTTTGGTTTATCCGAATGTAAATTACCACAGTTTTCAAAGATGGTTCCTGGCAGGAAACTAGATTACTTGTCTGCTGCTATTGCTCTCTCATCATCATTACCATCATCATTATTTTGTGCTACTTTCTGTACTGGGAAGCAGTATCCTCCTTATTGAAATGTCTTTTATATTCACAGCCCATTATCCCTGAAAACTAGAGCTTTTTCTGACAAATTGACCTTAAAAAAATAAATAGGGGAGGTGTTGGTGAAGAAAATCATAATGGCGTATTTCTAAGACTTAATTCCATTATCCATTCCCGGATTCCCTTCTTGAACTTTGTATTGGCCCATTTTCAATAAATCTACTTGAAACACCATGATTTTATGTTAGTCACACTGTTTAATATCTATATGTCTTAAACTACAGTTTGTTAGGGCAGGCACTTGGCTCCCCCCACCACCTATTCACAGAATTAAATGAGCATATGGCGTTATTGTTCTATTTTTCAGTAACAGGAAAAAAATTCCACTATATTTTATTTCCATTTTAAATTCTAAACAGAAAGTAGATGTTCTCATATAGTATGAAATAAAATATTGCATACTAGCTTCATTAAGAATGAGGTTCGTAATGGCTAGACTGGGAAACAGGTTTTCTCTAAAAAATGGCTTTGAGCTTGAAGTAGGTACTGTGCTTCTCCATATCTGTATATGCCTCTTTGAAGAAGGGAATTTGAGTTGCCAGACATTTTCTTTTAAATATTTTAGGTGAAAAAAATGTATAAATCAAATTATTTTTCTTTCTGTAGACAGAAACATCGTCTGTGTGCGGTCTAACCATCTGAAAAACATCCCTGAGAAACACAGTCAAGTGGCCCAGGTAATAAGGAATTAGAGCTGGTTGGAGATGACCCAGGGCATTGCAGTCTGGAATAGCAGCCTCCCTGACATTTTAATAATAGAGCTGCTTCAGGGAGATGAGGCTCTGTTCTGAAAGCATACTTCTTAATGTGTAGAGAACATTGCTAGTGTCTCATTAAAGGAGGGTGGAAAGGAGGAGAGAGAACTGCATCAAATGTCAGGCATCTGAGGAATTTTAATAGGAAATTATTAGGAAAGCAAAGTATTGCTGAGGGCAGTATAGCAAGTTGCAGGTATTTGAAAGGCTAGTATTTTCAACAGAACAGAATTGAGAACTATGATTAAGAGATGTGGGGGTGGTGGTAAGGTGTTTCCATCAGGGGGGGTGGCCTCTGAAATATTTGTATGTTCTTTTGTTTCATACACCCACTATTTACTGAGTGCCTATTATGTGTTGGGCACTGTGCTGGGTACCGGGGATCAAATGGACATGGTGCCTGCCCTTATGGAACTTAAAGCAAAAGTCCTACTCGTGATGACTAAACATAACTCCCAGCTAACATTCTTATTACCTGACTAGAGGCCCTGTGCACGAAATGTATGCAGGGGGGGTGGGTATCCCTCAGCCCGGCCTGTGTCCTCTTGCAACCTGGGACCCCTCCTTCCTAACTTGCCTGCTTGCTCCTTACCTCTTGTTTCACCACTCCTTACTGCCCGCCTGCTCACTTCTTGTTGCTTGGCTCGCTGTTCCTTAGCGCTGCCACAGAGGAAGGAGAGGCTCCCATCACCACACCACCACCACTGCTACCCTCGCCAGCTGTGAGCCTGGCTTCTAGCTGAGCAGTGCTCCCACTGGGAGTGCACTGACCACCAGGGGGCAGGTTCTGCATTAAGCATCTGCCCCCTGGTGGTCAGTGCATGTCATAGTGACCAGTTGTTCTGCTGTAATGGTCGCTGGGCTTTTCTATATTTAGATAATTCTTATCAGCACCCACCCTCTTAATAATTCAGATTTCTGACACTTGGGTAATGCCTTCTGACAGAACACAACATGGCTTCCAAGATTTCCCTGCTAGGACACAGCTCCCTTGGAAAGAGCCTTTAGAAATCTTCCTACATGGCCCTTGTCAGCTTGTTTTCCCATTCTCTTTAAGAATTATTGTAAACTCTTAACTCTCCTCAAATTTATTATCCCATTGCCTTTACCCTTGCTCTTGGCAGAGGAGCATTCTTGTTTTTTCCCCCTGGAAAATTAAGGCCATGGACAGTGTGGCTCAGTTGTTTGGGCAGTGTCCCGTGCACCAGGAGGTTGCCAGTTTGATTCCCTATCAAGGTATTGTGGGCTCGATCCCCAGTAAGGGTCATGCAGAAGGCAGCTGATCCATGTTGTGCTTTCACATTGATGTTTCTCTATCTCCCTCTCCCTTCCTCTGTCTCTAAAAACCAATAAACTATTCTTTTTTTTTTTTTTTTTTTTTTTTTTTTTTTTTTTTTTTTTTCTTGTAATCGAAGAAGGCCTGTATTATATAAGCACAGAAGGCAGAAAGGGATTATAACAACTTGTGTTTGGGTGAAAGAGGGGAGCCTCAGCTTTTAGGGGCTGTTCTTTTGAGCTTTGATGCCAGCAGACTGCTTTGTGAGCGGTGCGTTTCCTGATCTTAGTCCTTTAAGGGCAATGTTTTTATTTTTTTTTTTATTTTTTTTTTTTTTACTTTTTTTTTTTTTTATTTTTTTTTTTTATTTTACATATTTTATTGATTTTTTTTTTGCCCCCCTCCTTCCCTCCCATGTATCCCCTCCCTCCCCAGAGTTTTATGTCCATTGGTTGTACTTATATGCAGGTATACAAGTCCTTGGGTTGATTTATTGTCTCCCCCAGACCCTCCTCCCCTCCCCGTTGTAATTTGACAATCTGCTTGTTGCTTTACTGTCTCTATATCTATCTTTTGGTTCATCAGTTTATAATGATCTTTATTATCCACAAATGAGTGGGGTCATGTGGTGTTTCTCTTTCATTGATTGGCTTATTTCACTCAGCATGATGTTCTCCAATTCCATCCAGGTTGCTGCAAATGATGAGAATTCCTTCTTTTTTATGGCAGCATAGTATTCCATTGTGTAGATGTACCAAAGTTTTTGGATCCAATCATCAGCTGACGGGCACCTCGGCTGTTTCCAGATTCTGGCTATTGTAGATTGTGCTGCTATGAACATAGGGGTGCATATATCCTTTCTGATTGGTGTTTCTAGTTTCTTGGGATATATTCTAAGAAGTGGGATTACTGGGTCAAATGGGAGTTCCATTCTCAGTTTTTTGAGGAAACTCCACACTGTTCTCCACAGTGGTTGCACCAGTCTGCATTCCCACCAGCAGTGCACGAGGGTTCCTTTTTCTCCGCAACCTCGCCAACACTTGTCGTTTGTTGATTTGTTGATGTTGGCCATTCTGACAGGTGTGAGATGGTACCGCATTGTTGTTTTGATTTGCATCTCTCGGATAATTAGTGACTTTGAGCATGTTTTCATGTGCCTTTTGGCCTTCTTTCTGTCTTCTTTTGTAAATATTCTATTTAGGTCCATTGCCCATTTTTTAATTGGATCATTCATCTTCCTTTTATTTAGTTGTATCAGCTGTCTGTAGATGTTGGAGATTAAACCTTTATCTGTGGTATTATTTGCAAATATATTCTCCCATACCGTGGGCTTTCTTGTTGTTTTGTTGATGGTTTCTTTTGCTGTAAAAAAACTTTTTATTTTGATGTAGTCCCATTTGTTTATTTTCTCTTTAGCTTCCATTGCCCTAGGGGCAGTATCAGTGAAGAAGTTCTTTTGGCATACGTCTGAGATTTTGCTGCCTGCGGATGCTTCTAGTATTTTTATGGTTTCCCGTCTGATGTTTAAGTCCTGTATCCATTTTGAGTTTATTTTTGTGTATGGTGTAAGTTGGTGATCTAGTTTCATTCTTTTGCATGTGTCTACCCAATTTTCCCAACACCATTTATTGAAGAAACTGTCTTGACTCCATTGTATATTCGTGCCTCCTTTGTCAAATATTAATTGAGCATAGTGATTTGGGTTGATATCTGGGTTCTCGATTCTATTCCATTGATCTATATGTCTGTTCTTGTGCCAGTACCAGGCTGTTTTGAGAACAGTGGCTTTGTAATACAGTTTGAAGTCTGGTATTGAGATCCCTCCTACTTTACCCTTCTTTCTCAGGATTGCTGTGGCTATTCGGGGTCTTTTATTGTTCCAAATGAACTTTTGGAGAGTTCTTTCTAGGTCGGTGAAATATGCCGTTGGTATTTTAATGGGGAGTGCATTGAACCTATAGATTGCTTTAGGAAGTATGGACATTTTGATGATGTTGATTCTACCGATCCATGAACATGGTATATTCTTCCATCTCTTTACATCTTCCTCTATCTCTTTTTTCAGTGTCATGTAGTTTTCTGCATATAGGTCCTTTACTTCCTTAGTTAAATTTATTCCTAGGTACCTTAATTTTTTTGGTGCGATGGTAAATGGAATTGCTTTTTTAATCTCTATTTCTATAGTTTCGCTGTTGGTGTATAGAAATGCCGTGGATTTCTTGGCATTAATTTTGTATCCTGCTACATTGCCAAATTCATTTATTAAGTCAATTAGTTTTTTAATGGAGTCTTTTGGGTTTTTTATGTACAGTATCATGTCATCTGCAAATAAGGATAACTTTACTTCTTCTTTTCCAATTTGGATGCCTTTTATTTCCTCCTCTTGTCTAATTGCAATGGCTAGTACTTCCAGTACTATGTCAAACAGGAGTGGCGAGAGTGGGCATCCCTGTCTTGTTCCTGTTCTTAGAGGGAATGGTTTTAGTTTTTGCCCATTGAGTATAATGTTGGCTGTGGGTTTATCATATATAGCTTTTATTATGTTGAGGTATGATCCTTGTACTCCCACCTTGTTAAGAGTTTTTATCAGGAAAGGGTGTTGGATTTTATCAAATGCTTTTTCTGCATCAATTGATATGACTATATGATTTTTATCTTTCAGTTTGTTTATGTGATGTATCACGTTTATTGATTTGCGGATATTGTACCATCCTTGCATTCCTGGAATAAATCCTACTTGGTCATGGTGTATGATCTTTGTGATGTTCATCTGGAGTCTATTTGCTAGAATTTTGTTGAGGATTTTGGCATCTATGTTCATGAGGGATATTGGCCTGTAATTCTCTTTCATTGAGTTGTCTTTATCTGGTTTTGGTATTAGGGTGATGCTGGCTTCATAGAAGGAGTTTGGAAGTGTTCCTTCCTCTTGGATTTTTTGGAATAGTCTGAGGAGGAAAGGTTTTAGTTCTTCCTTGAATGTTTGGTAAAACTCTCCTGTGAAGCCATCAGGCCCTGGGCTTTTGTTTGCTGGAAGCTTTTTGATGACTGTTTCAATTTCTTCCCACGTCACTGGTCTATTAAGATTTTTAGATTCTTCCTGATTGAGTTTTGGAAGGTTGTATTTTTCTAGGAATATGTCCATTTCGTCCAGGTTGTTCAGTTTGTTGGAATAGAGTTGTTCATAGTATTTTGTAACAATCTGTTGTATTTCGGTGGGGTCTGTTGTTATTTCACCTCTTTCATTTCTGATTTTGTTTATTTGGGTCCTCTCTCTTTGTTTCTTGGTTAGCCTGGCTAGAGGTTCATCTATCTTGTTTATTCTTTCAAAAAACCAGCTCTTGGTTTTGTTGATCTTATGTATTGTTTTTTTGGTCTCTATGTCGTTTATCTGTGCTCTGATTTTTGTTATTTCCTTCCTTCTGCTTACACTGGGCTTTTCTTGTTGCTCCTTTTCTAATTCTTTGAGTTGTAGAGTTAGATCATCTGTTACCCTTTTTTCTAGTTTTTTGCAATAGGCTTGTAAGGATATGAACTTCCCTCTCAAAACTGCTTTTGCTGTGTCCCATAGATTTTGGATTGTTGTGTTTTCATTGTCATTTGTTGCCAGGATGTTTTTAATTTCTTCCTTGATTTCTCTGGTAACCCA